ATCATTAAAATTTGAATAAAGGATTAATGCAAAAGAATAGTATAAAAACTTCTAAAAAATCATATAAAATTTATTCCAACTCCAAATGAGGTGGTTCTAGATTTGTTAGATTGGAAAAATCATGAGCTTAATTGTTATACAATAAAATATGGCCCTTACAGTACCCAGACATGTCTAAGAATCAGTATAGCTACCGAAACCTATAATGTGATATCCTACTTATAAAATTCAAAGGAAAAATCATGTTAATCCTAAATATTGTGAAACCAATTTTGTTGTACTCCTGAGAACCTATACTTCACTGCAGCAACTGAACGCATCACAAATCATGGACCTAAGATGCACCTAAGTACTAATAGAGTTTAATTACCCAATTGTTAATATTACATTTTGAAAATTAATAACTCACAAATGTGAATAGATAAACTAGAAATTCTTTCACCACAAATCCTATCCACACAGCACCTATTCATGGTAGCAAACTCACGCATTTTAGAGCATTTTGTATTTTTAGCAGATTTCGGTATTTATTTGCATACGGTGTTATTTGTATAGATTATTGTTTTTTTCGGTGAAGGAGTGAATTAAATGCTATCTAGTTTCTCAAGATTAAGGCAAGTTCTTCCTCCCCTTCTCTTTGATCACATTGAAACCCATGTTTTGGGAGATGAAAAGTGTTGTTTGCAAAATTGCATTTATATTTTCTTAAACCAATATTTGAAAACTTGGGAAATGGTAGTTATCCATAACTTGTTGCATAAACTCCTTTGAATTATTGTACACCTCTCCATTTGTATACTTAGGAATGGTTAGAGTACATCACTTGTGCTCATTTGGGACTATAAATGCTTAATATGCTACTATATGCTTAGCCATGCTTAGAATATGCCAAATCACATTATGAAAACTTTTTAAGTGAAATTTTGGGCATAATTTCACTGCTGGACAGATTTGGAAATATTTACTTATTTGTGAACTAAAGGTGTGAAAATGAGGTTTTAGACTTGGGCGGCAAGTGGTGTGCATATGGTGGTAGTTGCACACTGATAGGGGGGAGTGTTTGCCCAACGACTGAACTTGTGTCACCAACTTAAAGTTAACCGTATATCTACATGTGCTAATTATGGTATGCCCTTGGCTAATTAAGTTATTTAATGTCTAGTCTTGCATATGAAGGCCGAAATAGAATGAATTAGTCTTAGCGATGATTCATAGGAACTACTCATGTGTGTCTGTTTGATTGTAGGATGATTCCCTACGTGTGTGTTACGTGAGTGGACGGATTTGTCCTTCCTCACGGCATGGGCGTCTCAGTCTATCCAATTCAACAGTATAGTGCCTCGTGGGGGAACGGATATGTTCGTTGCCACGGAGTTTGGTTGAAGGCGTGGGCCTGCCACCTAATGATTCTAGGTCATATGCCTAGGATGGAGCCACACTTGCCATCGATGATGCAAGGCTAGGCATTAGGTAATTTAAAGGCTACGTTGTAACCTCTAGACCACATTCAATATGTAGAGTGTGGTAGTACTGACAGGTACCGGACAAACCAGAGTGATTCACATCATGTGGGTAAAGCTGTACAAACTGTGCAGAGTTCAAAAACTAATCGATTAGTCGTGCTCACGGTCACATGAGTATAGACTCATTGTTTTAAATTATGTTTATGAAACCGCAATTTGAAATGGATGATTTGTGTTGAGTTGTATGAGTGTGATGATGATTATATGACTTGTTGCCAAGGAAGGCAACAAGGGTATGCTTAAGATGATATGATGTTATATATATGATAAATTTACAAATTTGTTTTGTTAATTGAATCATCAACTTTTTACAAAAGAATTGTGAATCAAAACTTGCTTTATGCTAAAATTGAACTACATATTTCCCTCCTTTGAATATATGCCTTACATGTAGCATGTTAGGATTGATATTGGCCTGCCAATACATTATTTTTAATAATGTACTAACTCTTGTTATACTGGAATATCCATCTTTGCAGGTTAAATGCTTAGATAAATTTGAATGGTGCCGGCTTCGACTGTTTCTTCTAGGACTTGATTCAATTAGGAGTTTATCCCTAGTCGGTTTGCTTGTGGTCTGGGTAGCTAAGCTTCCGCGAATCTCAGATTATTTGGCCTGTCGGCCTATGTGTATTTAAAGTTGATGTAATCTGAATTTTATTTGTCTTAGGTTTATTTGCTTTGTGTATTATTGCTTAAGATGAAAGTGTGGAGCTAGTGCGCATCTTGAGAACTAGCTTCACATGAGTATGGGTTTAGAACATTTGGAATGTCATAGAGTTTTAGCCATTTTTGTCAAGTCTCCTAAATGTGCAACACATCTGGTCACCGCCTTCGTATGGTTTGACGGACATATCTCAGGCTAAAGTTGACTGACATGGTAAAGTCCCAGCAATGTCTCTTATGTTCTTTACTCGAGGCTTCAGAATTTATATTATGCTTGCAAATTGATTTGATATGTTCAGTTCGATTAGCAAATATAATGTAAAGTCCAGGTGTCTTTCACAATTTCCAACTGATATAAATACATATATGCGGCGCCCTTTATATGAGGTGAGAATGCTTCCATATTTTCTATACCACGAACTTAACATATGGAAATTTTGCACTGTATATTTTTCTGGGAGGTAACTTCATACTCTCTCAAGCTCACATTTTATGTGTCCTTTCTTTAATTCTTTATACTGCATAGAAATTTCCACAAGGTAAACTAAAGTTGCTCAAAATAGATAGAACAGAATAAGTAGATAAACTTGACACACACACAACCGAATTATACCCATCAAAGGGCATCTAGTAAATAAAAGGGAGAATAGAACTGATGAGAGTCAATTGGAAAGGAAAAGACAATAAGAGCATCTCCAACAGCCCCCTTACTTCACTCTCCAAGCAAAATTTTAGCAATTTTAGATCAAAATCGTGCTCCAACAGCCTGGCCAGCCGGCTGGCTGGCCAAAATACTACTCGCGCCGGCCAACTTTGGCCGGCCAAAATAGCCTAGCCAAACGTGGGTCCCACGCCTTTTCCCCCTCCCATCCCATCCCGCACTCTCTCTCTGCCGCGATTCCTCCTCCGCTTCTCCACTGCCCAACGCGCCGGCACCTCTCCGCCAGCGCCGCCCCCTCCACCGTTGTCGTCCCCTATCAGGCCCACCTCCGTTCGCTGCAAAGGCCGCCGCGTCGTCGTCCGTTGCCGGCGCCCCGTTGTCTGCTGTCGAAACCGCCACCGGTTGCCCTCTGCTGCCGAGGACGCCTCGTCGTCGTCCGTTACCGACGCCGTCGTCGACGCTGCCGAGGTCGCCACTCAACGCCACCATCTTCGTCTCCTCCGCCGCTACCGCCTCCGCCGTCCGCCTCGCGCATGGGAATCGCCATCCGCCTCGCGCGCGCGGGGATCCGCCGCCGCCATCGCCATCCGCCTCGCGCGCGCGAGAAGCCTCCGCCGCTGTCGCCGTCCGCCTCACGCGCGAGAGGAGCCGCCGCCGCCGCCTCAGCCGTCCGCCTCGCGCGCGTGGGGATCCGCCGCCGCCGTCGCCGTCCGCCTCGCGCACGAGAGGAGCCGCCGCCGCCGCCGCCTCCGCCGTCCGCCTCGCGCGCGCGGGGATCCGCCGCCGCCGTCGCCGTCCGCCTCACGCACGAGAGGAGCTGCCGCCGCCGTCCGCCTCGCGCGCGCGGGGATCCGCCGCCACCGTCGCCGTCCACCTCGCGCGCGCGAGGAGCCGCTGCCGCCATCACCTCCGCCGTCCGCCTCATGCGCGGGGGGATCCGCCGTCGCCGTTACCGTCCACCTCATGCGCGCGAGGAGCCACCGCTGCCATCGCCTCTGCCGTCCGCCTCGCGCGCGGGGGGTGGGGGGGGGTCCGCCGTCGCCGTCGCCGTCCACCTCGTGCGCGCGAGGAGCCGCCGCCGTCCGCCTCGCGCGCGGGGGGGGGGGGGGGGGGAGGATCCGCTGCCGCTGTCGCCGTCCACCTCGCACGGGGATGGGTCGATGAGAAGGGAGAAGAGAAAGAGGAAGAGAAAGAAGAGGAAGAAGAAAGCAATAGAGGCTGACATGTGGGTCCTTTTGTCATTTTGGAGATGTAAATAGAGAGCCTGTTGGAGTCAACACCTAGATTGATTACCCAAATCAGATGGAGAGTTAGCTGTATGGGTATTTGGAGAATCGAATTTAGAGATGCTGTTGGAGATGCTCTAACATCTCACTAGACTAGCGGTTGTGGTTGGGAACAGAGGGAACAACACCTGAACTAAAGAACAAATATAGATGCAAAGAACGTTGACAACTACTCTATTTGTTTTATATTATTAGTTATTGGACTTATTTCTTAGTCAAAGTTCTTTAGGTTTGATCAAATTTTTAGAAAAAAATAACAACATTTACATTACCAAATTAGTTTCATTAAATTTTGTATTGAATATATTTTGATAATATGTTTGTTTAGTATTAAAAATGTTAGTATATTTTTCTATAAACTTGATCAAATTTAAAGGAGTTTGATAAAAAAAGTCAAATGTCTTATAATAATAAAAAAATCAAACGATTTATAATATGAAACCTACAGGAAAATGGAATTTCTCTGTGGTCATTTTTCTGTCGGCGATTCATATCAGTCCATTCACAGGTTAAAAATTTCTGACGGTAAAACCTATTTTCCTCTGTGGGTTTCATGCCTACAGGTAGCTGCTAAAGTCTGGTAGTGACGGTGAGTGGATGGCAGCGTGTTGGGTGAGGACTCACGACGTGGCAAGAAACACCTCCTGTTCAGATTTGTACGACCTTCTCTAGCATCTTCGAGCTTCCTTCCCTTGTCTCACTTTCCCCTTGTTTTATCTCCACATGGACAGACAACTCAACAGTGATGATGGTTCAACCAAGCAAACCAGAAAGAAATGCTGAACTGATAAACCAGACTAGTATCATCTGTGTGTATATCGCACGGTATAAAATAAAATTCGACAGATTAAAAGAAAAAAACTGTTAAAGGAAATCTAAAGAAACCGTTTTTATTATATATACCTACTTATTTTTTTTTCAGTTCTCTTGAATAGGTAATCAACGCCCAATAGAAAACTTGCAAAAGAAAAAAAATGCTGACGATGTGAGCGTAAGCGTACATACAAACGCTACAAGCGTGAAATCGTCATGTTAATTTGCATAATATAAGAAAAAAAAAACAAACCGGTTTCCAGGCAGGAAACAAACAAATAAAAAGCATTGCGCTTAGACATCAGAGATATACATGTCAGAATCCAGGGACGAGCATGGCAGAGAACCAGATCACCATGTCTTCAGCGAGCGGCGGCTCGCCGGTGTGCTTCGCTGCCACCCCTGGCTTGTTACCGTCGACGACGACGTAAACCCGGCAAAGCGGGCACGTCCGCCTGCATGAGAGGAGCCACCGGTCGACGCAGTCCCGGTGGAACGCATGCCGGCAGGGCAGACGCCTCGTCGCCTCGCCGACACGGATCCTGGAGAGACAGACGGAGCACTCCGTCAGGCCACCGCTGCCGCCGTCCTCGCTGGCTTGCCTCGCCTCCGACGGAATCTTGATGCACAGCATCTTGGAGATGTAGGAGAGGAGGTAGCTCATTGTGCAAACACATGCACCGAGCTGCAACAAAGGGCTACGGCCAGTGAGTAGTTGAGGGATATGTAATAATATCGATCGATCGATCGCTGTGGGTGTCGATCTCTTTTGGTCAGGGGTCAGGTGGTTTAGTTGCTTTGTTTGTACGAGTGGTTGCTACTATCGGAGTGTGTTGAGAGATCCCCATTGGAAGGTGCACCTACAAATAACTTTCGTTAGCACCAAGCTTAGATGAAAGCAAGCGATGTGTGTGCATACAAACAATGACGTACGAAAGAACATGTCGTTCTCAAGGAAGAAAAACAAAATTAGTAGGTGAAAGAACATTGGTAGTTGATTTGTTCATATCCATTGGTACGGAGCTTTATGGGAGGAGCATTTCTATCATCCTTAAGGTACAAACAGTTGAATCCATGTATTGATTTACAAGGGGCACGACAAGCAGTCACGATAGATCGCCCATGCCGCGAACGCCCTTTAATAGCTCTCTCGCTGGGAGGCCCCACCCCACTTCCTCTTCCTCGCTGTGGTGTTCTAGGAGAGAGGTTTGCTCTGGTCAAAAAAAAAAATACATGGAGGTACTGGTACCTCACAGTACCAAAACATTTTCAATCGTTAGATCTAGCTGGACAGGATGAGCTTTGTTAGATCCAACAATCGAAAATGATTTGGTACCGTGAGGTATCGGTATCTCGAGGTACTTTTTGTTGGACTGGAGCAAATCTCTCCAGGAGAACCTCAGCGTGAGCCGGTTGTATGACACCATCCATGGCAACGTGATTAAGTGATGAAGATCATAGCCCTCAACTCCGGCATGAGCGTCCACCTGCAAATCAGCTCCGCAACCATAGGGATTGGAACACTAGTACACAAAAGACTTTCCTAGTCGAGGAGCTCCTATTTTTCCAGACAGACCGTTTTCGCGTGCGTCTGTGAAAATCGGTCTCCCATTTTCGTGTGCGGACCCTTAAGAGACCCGCACGCAAAAATCGACTTTCGTAGGCGGGCCCCTAAACGGTCCGCATGTAAAAATAAGCCTATTTTCACATGCGGACCCTTAAGAGGCCCGCACGCAAAAATTGATTTTCGCGTGCGGGTGTCTTAAGTGGACCGCACGTGAAAATACCTCTGCATCTTTTCCCTCTCATTCACTTCAAACCTTTCACCCTTTCTCTTCCTTTTCCATTTTATTCTCCCTCAATCAGTCCTCTCTCTCTCCCTTTCCTCTCCTCGCCTCCCCACCGAGCGCACGGGGCGCGGGAGGCGCCCGGCTTGCCGCCGCTGCCGCCGAGGAGGCGATGGGCGGGAGGCAGCGCAGCAGCTGTTGTCGTAGGCAGCGCGGCGGCTAGCGACCGAGAGGCGGTGCGGCGGGCGACCAGCCAGATCCGCGCCGCGTCGATGACGAGGAGGAGAAGGCACCCGAGAGCGGCAACGACAACCGGTCACGGCGGAGACGGGGTTAGGAGCAGCGGGCTCGGGAGCAGCGGTGGTGGCTGGGAGCGGCAGCAGCGCGACGATGAGGACGATGGCGACCACGAGAGACGTCGGTGGGCGATTCTAGGGTTAGGGTTAGGGTTTGGGATTTTTTTATTTTATTTTTTTGGGTTTTTCTTTTTTTTTTTGCGTGTGGGCAGTATAATTTGACTGCACGTGATAATCGATTATCCTGTGCGGTCCACTCAACCCGACCGTACGATGTTGGTATTTCTTAATGACATTACTAGAAATATAATTCCCAACAATGGCGCAGAAATACTCCCGGTATATTATGGTTATAGAGTTCATCCGCAAGCGCACGGATATACCATTGTAGCATTTCACCCGAGAGTATTCCAAGGGTATTGTATTTATTTAATACCGTGGAAAGATCATAGTAGAGAGAACCGTACTAACAATTTATATGTTACTTGTAATAATCATAGTCTAAGCAGGGTTAAGATAAATCAAAGGGTAGAGTGACACACAAGCATGGAGCTACTCATTCTCATACTAAAATATCTAAGCTAAGTGGAAAGAAAAAAAGAAAGAGAATCTATTGCTATACTTCTGGTATACATAGTATACATACATTCTAGTTATATGATTAACTAGCTAATACCCTCTATCTGATGCCCTCCTGGTACTTCGAGAAGTCACCCCTGACTGCCGAGTTCCTTACAACATCCTGTCATAACCATACAATCGGGGATAAATACGGAGGAGTACACTCCCCAGGAAATTAACTTAGGACTATATACACGTACTGAGCTGACACCATCAGCGGCCCACCTCTCATCCGCAGCATATAACCTTAAATAATGATATCCCATAATCTAGACACCACACCTAAACTACCAAATACTACTCTAATATCATCGTCATGACATAGAGTAATTGCATAAGCAAACATTATATATGTACCTATGCATCTCCCAGATAAGATAGCAGTATAATCAGTATAACATGAACATAAAGTAAAGTTGGCATTCATATACTCGGAAAGTATTTCAATAACAGAAATGTATAAAGAAGAGTATTCTAAATAAAGTACGAAGCTTGCAAAAGAGGAAATAAGAGCTACTAGAGCTATACCTGAACTCTTCTGAATGCTTCCGGACTCCGATTTCTATTCTATTCATACTCCACTAGCTTAAGAACACTAAACTAAACTTGAGAGAATATGAGAGAGTTTTGCTTGAAGTGTGTGAATGAAGTGAGGATGAGAGCTCCTTTTATTGCCTCCCAATGATGGTTGTGATGGTTGGAATGGTTGGAAATACCCTCCAACCGTCATTGGGGGCTGATCTACACCGTCCAGGCAAAGACCTGGATCAAACAACGCTGAGGATGGTTTGGCCGAACCTAGGGCCGGCCCAACCAGCCCAAATTTCGGCTGGTGGCCTCATCTCATGCTCTTCTCCGCAGACTTGTGAATTTTGGCCTAATTCGTCATGTCATTTCTGAGTTCTTGGCCCATTCATGCATAAGTCTGATTCTCGACACCATCCGATTTATTTATCATCTGATTTGATGTCGGTTCTCCTCCACTTTATGGTTATTCTATGCAAAAGGTTAGCAAACCTAATACTAGTGGAATATTATTGTTCTAACATGAATATGGTAATGACCGTCAACACACGGGAAGATGGATTATCTCGTGCGATTAGGCCGCCCGCACGTGAAAATATGGATTTTTGTAGACACCTGGGTAGACGGGCGGGACCTCGGTATGGAAAAATGCATTTTGTCACGGAAAAATCGTTTGTGTACTAGTGGAAGGAGCTCATCATGAACAGCTTCCTCACGCTGATTGTTAGCAAGGGTATTTTAATTTTTTTTTTGTCTGCTTGTACACTTTATATGCTCCTTTGAGCCTATTTCAATGCATACAATTCAATCCCTAAATATTAGTTTCGTAATACCAGTATTCGAGCAAAGATCCTAACCTCAGTCAGCAGATAATGACGTCGTCGATAGGCCAGCTGCAAGCCAGAGCGTGCCGGCGGTGGGTGTCAATTAGGCGGATTTATAGGGTGGTCCACGTGGTCATTGAACCACCGAAAAAATGGCAACCGACCCTACCATATATCAGAAAAAAACAAATGGTGATCGCGGCATGGAAAGTGGAAACCGAAGCGTCGCGCGGACATGTGCACCTCTCCTCACGTCGCGATCAACTCCTCATTTTTCGCTTCAACCGCCCGCAATCACGCCATTCGCAGCCAGTCTAGTCAGCCCTAGCGCCACGCCTTGCCAACATGCCGCTACGCGCACCGCCGCGAGGAGCCGATCGAGGAGCCCTACGCCGCACCGCCGCTGCACAACGATCGCCTCACCCGACAGCTTGATGGCCTGACCCCTTGACTCCACCCGCGAGGCCACGAGATTGGCAGACCATGAATGGCGAACGAGTGGAGCGCTGAACCACCGAGGCGCCGTCGCCCCGACGCCCACTGCCCGGCCGCCCATGCCTCGACAGCGATCATCGACTGCTGATCTTGTCTCTATCTCCTCGTCGATTGTCATCGACAGTGTGTCCGTCCTACCGAGCCTGCGACTGAGCACACTAGACATCGAGTCGTGGTCTGGTGGTCGTGGACGCTGAGTTCCGAATCGCCAACCAGTAAGGCAGTAACCACTGGAGAAGGCAGAGATCAGCGATCATGTTGGATAGTATAGGGAGAGGAGATAATGTGAATATTGGACACGTTGTATTGAGTCTCAGAGGACCGATATATATAGGAGTACATGGGAAGTAGATAAGGAAGGATTACAGATATGGAAAGACTCCACACAAATCAATCCTATCCTAATAAAACTCTAACTACCATATACTCTAACATCCCCCGCAGTCCAAACGTGAGCAGCGCGGACACTTGGACTAGAGAAAAAACCAACAAGAGTACTCAACACGATGATAGCCTTTCGTGCCGTAGTCGATGTTGCTAAAGCAAAGGGTGCGAGGGAGCCGTGGTTGATGAAGCCGTGTGTAGAGTAGCCGTGGTCGATGTAGCCGAAGTCGGGAAGCTGATGTCGAGGTAGCCAGGCCACAAGGCGAGCATGGGGCGCCGTAGAGTGGTTGTGGACGCATGGGAGGGCGTCGTGGACCAAGGTGTGCGAGGACGCGCTAGAGACAAAGACGGTGACACAATCGCGACAGTCGTTGAGGAAGATAACGTTGAAGAGCCGATGTAGTCGAACCGTGAAGGATGAGACGTCATGTCGGGTTTGCCAAACCCGGGGACAACTTGGAACGAACGCACGCAACGGTGTTGCCAATACCGTGCGGGCAAGGTTGGAGACCGCCATGAATCATACGCCAATGTCGGAGGAGACTAGTAGAGAAGGCCTCCAAGACAGTCGCGGCGAAAGAATTGCATAGATAGAGAATTGCCGAAGCAGCACGCAGTTGCCGGAGAAGAGCGAAGTGTAGTCGAGGAAGATATGACGACGCTGGCAATGAGACATGTTCGACGAAGAAAAAGGCGCAGTAGCGGGACCAACGGCCTGGACGGCGTCGTCGGTAACAGCCATGTAGAGGTAGCTGGAGCACCGGCCTAGAGCGGCAATGCTTGAAGTAGATGAAGAAGAACCCAAGTGGCTGACGATGACTAGTGCGGATGACGAGGTTGTCGATGTGCAAACGGCGATAAAGACGACGAAAGCAGCAAAGCTACGGTCCGAGGACAACACAGCTGTAGCTCC